TGTATATATATACATATATATATATATATATATATATATATATATATATATATATATATATATGTTTATATATACATATATGTATATATATATATATATATATATGTATATATATACATATATATGTATATATATACATATATATATATATACATGTATATATAAATATATATATATATATATATATATATATATATATATATATACATATATATATATATATATATATATATATATATATATATATATATATATATATATATATATATATATATATATATATATGTATATATATATATTTATATATATATATATATATATATTTGTATGTATATATATATATATATATATTTATATATATATATATATATATATATATATATATATATATATATATATATATATATATATATATATATGTATATGTATATATATGTATATATATATGTATATATATATATATATATTTATATATATATATATATATATATATATATATATATATATATATATATATATATATATATATATATATATATATATATATATATATATATATATATATATATATATATATATATAAATTAACATATATATATAATTATTTACTATTGTATTTGTTTGAGATACAAATCCTCTTGTTTACTTGAGAGTGATCAATATAATGTAAAAGAAATTTTTACAAAATAGATCAAGATAAATATATATGTATATAAAGTATAATTAAATAGAAAAATACTACTTTATAATGGAAAAGTTTCATGGCAAATCAAGAAAAAACCTGTTAAAAATACAAAATACAATAACAGCAGTAGAATGAGTTCTGACGTCAAAACAAAATGAATAAAAAAGAAGTATAGTAGTAAAAATGCTAATGTCAAATTGGGAAAGAAGAAATTTGTTTTTATGCCAGCACTTAGATAATAATTCACTCTTTTTATTTAACAAATATGGGTGTTTGAAAAAATAAAATTTTGTACTTTTCATTTATGCATAAGTCACATCGTTTTGTTACAGGGTTATAGGCATCGCACTGTTTAATTATTTTCCACCTAACAACCCGGTTCATGCTTTCATCTTTTAATCACCTAACCTCCTTTGATAATTCAGTGTCATTTTTGTATTTGGGAATTTTATTTGGTAAATAATTAAACAGTGCGATGTAATATATATATATATATATATATATATATATATATATATATATATATATATATATATATATATATATATATATATATATATATATATATATATATATATATATATATATATATATATATATATATATATATATTTATAAATATATTATTACATGTGTGCTCAGAAAAAAAATTTCAAAAATAAAAAAATAATTAGAATTTAGTTTGCCCAATTAAACCAATCATTTCCATTCTCTCAATAAAGTTTTGAGTAATTAGCCCAAATGTGATAAGGACTTTTTTACTCAATCATTTTTCTCTTTGTTCTTTATTTTTCTTTTTCTTCTCAAGACTGCTCCCTTTTAGATATAATTTCTCATCAAATTGGTCATTCGTTTTCTCTCTCCCTTTGCCATCATTGTTGTTGTTGATGACTTTAATCCTCATCACATTGAATGTCTTGGCTCTAACACCACTAACATTGCTGTCACTTTTGAACCCAAGACTTCTGTATTTTTCAATCTCTTATTCGGATATACTTTTTGATTTGTTTTCTAGTCAAACTTTATCACTTACCTTCACTTTTTGATTTGTATCTTGTCTCTGACCCCAGCTTGTGTTCAGTATTCCTTTTCACCCTCATGTAGTTCTGACCATGCAATAATCTCTATAAATCTTTCATCTTGTAGTCATTCTTCAGACTCACCCTATCATTACACTACTCCAACTGACTGGTATTCTTTTTTATTATTTTTTTTGTGGTGGTTCTTACATTACCTTAATGTGCTTTTTACATAACCTCCTGTATCCAGGCAGGTATCAAAGTTTTTATTGTTTCTTGTTGGTTTTTAGTCAAGTCTTATTCTATTCCATGGTTTTCACCTTCTTGCTCAGCTGCTATGCCTAATCCAAATCATTTTAACAAAAACTCCTAACTCTTTTTAGAACAAAATTTAGTTTTTGTTGCAAAAAACCAGTGTAAAAAGGTGTTGTCTGATGTTACGCTTCGTTATTCCCAGTTTACAAAATTTTATATCTTATCTCAGAAGTTAGAGTCTAGAAACTTTTGAAAATCTTCAACAGTATTTTTAACAAAAGTAAGTCAAATACTCTTGCCTCTAATTCATGGGTCTGATCTTATTAACTTTCCTTAGGATAAGACAGAATTATTTGCAAAGAAATTTTCCTTTAATTCAACTCTTGAATCTTATCACCATACTCTGCCTGCCATTTCAGTTACAATAACAATAACGACATCATAAACAGTCAGCATTTCCTAAATTACCTGGTTTGTTTGCTAATGTTAAGCCAGTAAAACATTCTTATCAGTTCTCTAGTGGTTGGTAGCCTATTTGGAGCATAGCTTGATGGTGGGAAACCTTGCAGATAAAACTTTTTTTCCTTGCAGTCTGTCATGATTCTTCAACTGACATTGGTATTGATTTCTGGTACTTTTTTCATGAAGCCACTGTTTGAAATGTACAATAGTTTGTTTGGTGACACTGAGTTCAAGTGAAAGTTTGGTAACACTGAGGTCAAGTGGTAGTATTAGGATGCACTGTAAAATATAAACATATTGCATAATGTTATGTTTTTTTATTATGATAATTTATTCCATTATAAACAAAAGTTGAAAAAAGTTTTTTAGCAACAGAGACAAAAAAATTATTTAATGAAAATAAAACTTACTTTTTATTTGAAACTGTTATACTGAATATATATAGTTTTTATAAATTAAGCATCACTCAAAAACACATTCTTTACCTTAGAGTTAACCTAAAAACATCTTCTTTAACTTAAATTGACCTAATAACACTTTCTTTACCTTAGAGTTGACCTAAAAACACCTTTACCTTACAGTTGACTTATAGAGCTGAGATTTTTACTGAAAGCTACTTATAAATATTGATAGTGATTTCACTTTTCCTTATCACACAGTAGTGGAAATGATTTATTTGAAAAATATAATCTAAATTTTAGAAATATATTGTTGATGTCTTTCAAAAAAAAGAGGGTTTAATGTCTAAGTATGGATTTTTGGTGTTCAAGATAGCTAACTTCTGAAAATGGTGCAAACTTTAAATTTTGTAATATTGGTATTGGTATCAAATAAAAATGTTTCACAAAAGAAATACAATGTTTGAGCCTGGAAACAATATATACCTGAAAAATTGGGACCTACACCCCAAATGTGGAAAGAAGAAGAAAAAAAGTTTAAAAGCGAAGAAGTTGAACCAAATTTTTTCTTTAATCCTTTTTTTTTAAATTTAGCTTGGGGTTTACTTTGGTTTTTAAAATGTTGCATTAAATTAATTTTTTATTAATTATCTAATAATTAATAGTTTTATACTATTATTTCTACTGCTTCAAATATACTTGAATTAAATTAATTAAATTCATCTTCACTAACTTTTATCTAATAATAATTGCATTCTGATAGAAACCAGAAGTTTTTGCTATAACTTTAATTTGCTTCTTTGACAAATATTATATTTGACTTTATATACTATATATATTTATTTTATAGATATTTGTTAAATAAATTTAGTTAAAAATAAATTTATAGATATATATACACTATATATATCTATAAATTTTTTTGTTTCACTTATTTAAATTACTTTCACATAACTGGTGAAAAACCTTATTTCATAAATGATTTGAGTTTTTATATTTTTATTATTTTGATAAAAATATTTAATTTATTTATTTTAATAACAGTATTGTAATATATAATATTTTCTGTGAAAATTATAATCATTTTTATTTTCAACTGTATTTAGTCACTTTGTTTTATTTTTCTTTAAATTTTTAAAAATTATTTTCTCATAAGTGTTCGCCACCAATTCAATAAATTTGATTTATAGATGATTTATAGATAAATTAAAAAATATTAATTGAGCTTTGGCGTTTTTTTTCTTTCTATAATAGGATTCTTAAAAGATTTATATTTATTATATTATTATATATATTTAGTTTTACTTATACTTATATTTACTTAAATTTCTTTGTTTTTAAAACATTGCATTAAATTCTGTCCTTTGTAATAAGTATTATTTTACTTTCGTATAGTAGTGTTTTATTTTACTTTCATTTTATTTTACTTTCATGTAGTAGTGTTTCATAAAGAAATCGTCTTAATATTAAATATTCAGTTTAAGTAGTTAGTGGGACACAAATGCAAAACATTGTTTTTATCTAATTATGTTAGCAGTTTTTAAAATTATTTTAATGAGCAAGAGAAGGTACTATCATTTTTTTTTCTTAAACTTTAAAGGTAGATGTTCTTATTTTATAATTATTCATATTTATTGTATGTGATTAAGAATATTTTCTCTTTCAACTGTACTTTTTCAATCAATCTTTTCAATAATTTTTCTCTTAGCATTTCCCGTTTGCAAAGTCATTTTAACAAATTAACATTTTAAAAAAATAAAAAATTATCAATTGTCCGTTTGCCCATTTTAAATAAGCATTAAGTTTATTTAAAAGTATTATTATTAAAATAATACAAATAAATAAGCATTAAGTTTATTTAAAAGTATTATTATTAAAATAATACAAATTTGTTAATTTTTAGTACTCTCACAAAGAGAAGAATTTAAAAAAAACTTTGAAAATATATACTTTTTATTTTTTGTTAAAAAATGATAAAATTTAAACTAGTAATCTTTATATATAATGATTATTATTTATCTGTCTGTGTGTTTTTGTGTAGATCAACATTTTTTTAATTTTTTTAATAAGTATAAATAAGTAAAAACTATAAGAAAGAGTAAGATAATTAAAAAAAATATATTTATAAGAGGAAATATATGTGCAATTTATACCATGTTTATAAATATTTTCATTACATAGGTGTCTTTATTAATGAAGATGACCTTAATCTTGCTGATAATGAATGTGATCGTCACTTTAGTCCTGTAACTGTATCATGGAAAAATCGCTACATAAAAATTTTAAATGAGAAGTGGATCCTAAATTCTGTGTTAAGTATGAATTCACATAAAGGTTTTACAAAAACCAATATATTTCAAGTTATCACACATATTAATTTATCACAAAATTATTTGGAGTTGGTTCCAGTTATCATTTTTCAATTGCCTTTATTAAAAAAGCTAAATCTTTCACATAATAAACTGTCAAAGTTGCCTATTTTGTCAGATGATGAAAAAAAAAATTGTATCAATAATAGCGAAACTCTTTCAATGAGCTGGAATTGCCCTAGATTAGAAGAACTGGAGCTTCAACATAATTTATTAGAAACACTTCCAAAAAATGTTTTTGAAATGCCAGCATTGCAAGCCATAAACTGTGGAAACAATAAAATATCTTTTTTACCATTTGATATGTGGATTGCTAAATCTTTGAAAATTTTAGTGCTTGATAACAATTGCTTAACTGATTTGCCCGTTTTTGATGAAAGTGCCAAATCTAGTTCGAAATTTCAAGAGAAAAGTGTTAGTGATTCCCAAAATGAAAGAGAAAATAGGTATGTTCTAACAATATAATAAATAGTAAGAAATGAACAATTATTTGCATAAAAATGAATTATAAGTAAATAAAACAGTAACTAAAAATTAAAGCTGCTGAAAATTTAAAAAATATTTTTCATATACTTTACTATATGTTGCATTTAAAGGTTTTTTTAGGTTTTGTTCTGAAAAGTAAAATCAGTTATACATAAGGTTTTTTTAAAAAAAAAAAATAAGAATATTTATAACAGATTAACCTCAAATAACAGAGAATAACTTCAAATGAGGAAATTTTGTCAAGACTATTTAGCTTGTGATAAACAACATTAAATATAGTATTCAAATAGAAGATTATTTTTTTCAAACTCAATATAAACTGAAATTTTATTTATGTCTCAATATTGAAAAAAGTTATAAAATGTAAAATGTATAAAAAAAAAAATACTGCATTTCAACTATTTTTTGGTTTCACAGATAAACAAATCTATGAAACTAATATTTAACAGAGATAAAACTCTAAGAATCTAATATTTAACAGAAATAAAAGCTGTCTGAAACTAATACTTAACAGAGATTAAAACTCTCTGAAACTAAAATTTAACAGAGATAAAAACTCTTTGAAATTAATATTTAATAGAGATAAAAACTCTCTGAAGCTAATATTTAACAGAGATAAAAACTCTATAAAACTATCAGTTAATAATTAATACTTAGTATCTTTAAACTTAAATTAAAATTTTAGTATCTTCAAACTAAAATTAGTAAACTTTAAAAAAAATGGTTCAAGTGAATTTTTAATAATCAAAATCTTATTTAAAAAATAAGATTTTGATTATTAAAATTAAATTTTTTAAAATGTTATGTTCTATTTATCTAAAATAGTAAATTAAAAAAATAATTTGTAGTAGGTGGAGGAGGTGGTGCAATATGGTGTTTATCTATCTAGTTTAGTATTAAATGTTTTAAACTGTATTTTTTTGTTTATTATGATTTCGGTTTTTTTTTTTTTAAGCCTACCATGGTACATAGTGGACTCAGAGGTGGAATTAAAAAAAAAAAATTATTTTGAGAATGCCCATAAAAATTATTTTATTAGAAAGCCAGATAAATTTGTGGATAAATAAAAAAAATTATGTTTTTAGCTAATTTCTAAGTGGGGATATGTTATTTTGCAGTTAGTGATTTCTTATGTATCTAAAAATATTCAGTTAATTTGAATGTTTTTTAAAATGATTTACCATGACTAAAATTGGTAAAAAGCTTGGTAAAATTGTTTTTAATTTGATATGGAATATATTTTCTCAAAAATAATTTTAAAATTAATTCAAAATGTGTAATTTGTTTTATTACTTTTTTTTTGTTGAGTTTTTCACACTTAATTAGGTAATTTTTTTGTAAATTTGTTTTTGTTTTTTAATAAAAAACCAGACCATTAAATCTTAAGTTTTGTCAAAAGTGCTAACTTGCCTCTACTGTGTGCTAACTTGCCTCTGCTGTGTGCTAACTTGCCTCTACTGTGTGCTAACTTGCCTCTACTGTGTGCTAACTTGCCTCTACTGTGTGCTAACTTGCCTCTACTGTGTGCTAACTTGCCTCTACTGTGTGCTAACTTGCCTCTACTGTGTGCTAACTTGCCTCTACTGTGTGCTAACTTGCCTCTACTGTGTGCTAACTTGCCTCTACTGTGTGCTAACTTGCCTCTACTGTGTGCTAACTTGCCTCTACTGTGTGCTAACTTGCCTCTACTGTGTGCTAACTTGCCTCTACTGTGTGCTAACTTGCCTCTACTGTGTACTAACTTTTCTCTACTTTGTGCTAACTTGCCTCTACTGTGGCATACATTATAAAGATAATCAACATTTCTTCTTTTAAAATTATAATTATAGAATATTTTATTTATAGTTACAATTATGAAAATTGTTTAAAAAATTGTCCTTAATAACATATTCAGTCATTAAATAAATACTTTTTAAAAACTTTGGATTTGTGAGAAAACATGAAAACATTATAAATTTATAAATTAAGATTTGTTTTTGCTTCAAACTGCATCTATTTTTTGTTTTCTTTATTAAAAATACTGAATGTAATGTCCTGTATCTTATTTTCCCAACTACTGCACAAAAATAATTAAATGCTGAAGGAATGTGTTGTCAGTTAGGTAAAAATCTCAATATCAAAATATATTTAAGATACAATGATGGTTTTTTATAGTTTAAATGACTCATCAACAGACTAGGAGGTGCAGATTGTATACTTTGCAAAACAAAAACTACTGTATGGACTGATATTGACAGAGTTAGTGAAGGATTACAAATTGATCAATCACAGAGGTCTGTAAAAAAAATTATAAAAAAGTTGTTTAAAAATTTGATAACTGTTTTTAATGCATTTCTCAGCACTTATTTTGAAAATGCAATCCTTTTTTTTTCTATCACGTTAGGTTTTCTCACAAAAATGGGATTATTTTTGGGTAAAATAACAAAACTTGAGCAATTTTTCACATTTTTCAAATGTTATAAAATTTTATCTTATGTATAAATCATCTTCTAAACTATATTTCAAGAACACTTACATTTCTCTTGCAGCTTATAAGTCCTTATAATAACATTTTTGCTTTCTGTCGAAGCTTCTTTTATTGCTTTTAGGGCTGTGGACTTGTTCAGGATCATCTCTCTTCAACATCCAACAGTAATCCACTATCATGTTGTCGTTCCATCTTCCCTGATATCTTCTTTCCATTTCCTTTATGTCTTGGTGAAATCTTTTGCCTTGCTCTTCACTTAAATCACCAAGGTTTGCAGGGAAGTAATCAAGATGTGAACAGAGAAAATGAACTTTAATCTTCATCTTACAGCCTAGCTTCTTAATGTTGTTGAGTATTGTCTGTGTCTGGAGGAGAGGGTATTGGTACTCCAGGTCAATGAGGAATAAGGCGAATGGCTGAATGAATGTTAGGGTAAGAAATATCCTTTTTGTTATTCAAATTAAAACCTAGTACGTTGCAAGAACAAAAATAATAGATATCACTAGGATTTTTGGGCTCCCTCCAAACTATTGGTATTCCATAATGTAAGGACTTTACCTTGAAACCATTGCCTAAGTTCAAACACATATTGAACAAACTTTGTGTGGAGCCCAAGACTTATCTTGATTGCCTAACTTTATACCAAAATAGGCAAAATATTCCTTTTCAATAAAATCAGAGATGTTTCTTTGTCGCTTTTTAATGGTATAGTTACCACAAATGTAGGAAAAGCAATCTGGTGAGTTTATATATCCTCTAGTAGCCATTGTCCATAAAACAACTTGTACTTTAGGCTAAATAACAGTTTGTGGAGAACTTAAAAACCAAAATTCAAACTTACTAGAGTACTGAACTATTTATAAAAAATATCAAAAAAGCTAAAACTAGACAATGCGATGAGTTGTTTTTTAGAGAGATCTGATCATGGTGTTTTAAATAAGATCTGATCATGGCGAGTTATCTATTCACATCTTTCAAAGTTAAGCTAAGATTCAAATGAGCATACAAGCATATCTCATGAATTTATGATTTCTAAATCAAAGTGATATTTTAATGTTTGAAAATTTTATATATGATTAGTTATGAAGTTATTAACATTTTTTACTTTTTTATAATCTTTTCTTTTACTTAACATGAACTCAACTATCTTTGTCGTCCAAGAGACACTTGAAAACTAACCCTTTATATAAAAATTTGTTTCTAAAGTGCTTGCGGCTTGCTTTATATAAAAGTTTGCTTCTAAAGTGCTTGCGGCTTGCTTTATATAAAAATTTGCTTCTAAAGTGCTTGCGGCTTGCTTTATATAAAAATTTGCTTCTAAAGTGCTTGCGGCTTGCTTTATATAAAAATTTGCTTCTAAAGTGCTTGCGGCTTTATTATTAAAGAGTTAAAGAGTAATTATAATTATTTAATAAATGTTTATTTTTAAAAATCAACAAATATTGCGCTTGTGGTTTTTTTTTAAATATTTTCTTTTTAAAAATTTTTTTTCTTCAATAAAATGGAAAAATATAACTTACAACATAATTTTGTCTAATATTAATATAAAAATATATTACATATGTGGGAGGACGAGGGTGGCAATGCAAATGAAATATTTATACTATACTAGCTGTCATGACCCAAAAAATACGGGTCTTTAGGATATTGATGCACACTTTATCCGCGTGCTTACAGTTCATAAGAACTATTATCCGGTTTATAACGCAAGAAAATCTCAATCAAATGAAAACATCTAACTTTTAATGTCCTAAATAAAGATACGAAGATTAAACTTATTGATTGCGTAAACACTAACTTTAACATAAATGGCATTTGCGAGACACTTCTTGCAACTTATGTCAAAATTTAATGGTGACTCTAAAATCCTAAAGGATAGAGGGGAGACGCTTTTTTTGTCACTTTTATCTAAATTTAAAAAAAAATATCAAACAATGTAATAATCTAAAAATAATAATATGATAATGTTACTATCAATGTAAAAAATCTAAATCCAAAAGTCAAGGATTAAAGAGATGCAAGAAAAAATTTGTAAAAAATTCTTTTTTTAAGCCTTCAATTTTATCTTTTTTTAAGTATTTAACTAAGCATTTAACTAAGCCTCGTGGTGATTAAAACCGCGTGGAAGTAAAACTTGATTGGCATTTTGTTTAAAAAACCTAGGTTGGCACTTTGTACCACAGCGATATTTATCATATACAAAAAAGCTGAATTTCTGTTTTTGTATATTTGATCAACAAAGTTTTTTCTCAAAAAGACTTGGAATATGTCAAGAAAGTTGGAAACTAAGTGTTAAAAGACTTCACGAAAAAACAAAATTTTAAAATTTGTGAACGATTTTTTTTCTCTCCTTAGCGAAGTTGGTTCTGTGTCAAAATGCGAGGATCAAACTTTTGAATAATATCTTTACATATGTTGTCTATATACAATATCTATAAAACTTTATAAGTATTTGAATTTGTATTTAAAAAAATCTAAAAAAAAAATTAAAAT